ATGAGAGAGGCCACAGTATGTAGCACCTTTTCGACGTCTGCAGTAAGGCAGGTGTAGGACTAAGGGTGAAGTCTCAGCTGTTCATTTCTGACACAGGTGCACAACCATGTGTGTTTCTCAGCAAGAGGCTGTTGATTTCTGACACAGGCACAGAAGAACCTGTGTTTCTCAGCAAGAGGCTAAATCATGTTTACAGGAATCCTCTCTGTACCACCTAAGATCCCGCAGACAAGTAGCATCTAGTCTGTTGGTCTAAATGTCTGAGGCTACTGAACTTCCATTCGGTTCCCATTTCTGCTGAGGCCCGGTAGGCAAAGCAGTGTTCTGGGGACACTGGGGTAAACATGGTGATGGCACACAGTACCCACTGTGAGGAGCCTGAAGTGGGGGACCCTGCTCCTAATAGAACCTGTGGTATCGGTAAGTGACACCATCAAGAGCACAGAGTACCATTGTATTGGTGACTCAGCCTCCCAGTTAGCTGGGATCCCTGGTGGATACCACCACACTTGGCTAGTTTCTGTGTTTTTAGTAGATGTGGGGTTTTGCCATGTTGGCTAGGCTGGTCTTGAACTCCAGAGGTCAAGTGATCTCCCTTTCTGGGCCTCCTAAATTGCTCTGATTCCAGGTGCGAGTCACTCTGCTGACTCCACAGATTCTTTCTTATGTAAAGGTTGTTAGAATTCATCCGTCAGTCCAGTCTCCTATGTAAATTTCTCTAACTATTCATTCGCCATCATATATGATGAGATAAATCAGTATAGCTGCAATGCTTCTGGAAAGTAGTTAGGGCAATGTGTGAAGATTTTTGGGAAGAGGTTTTAATTGCTTGTGCTGACTCAAGTCAGAGAATACATGATTAAGATCTAGCAGATGAGGGAGATTTTGTCCCATAGATATGAAAAGCAGGCTCATCTACTTCTAGCATGACTTAATCTAGGGACTAGTAGAACATTCCCATCAGAATATCACATTCTTAAACTGAGAATATTTTTCATTTTTGTGATACGACTAGACACTGATTTGGTCTTGTGTGAAGTGTGATTTGCTTAATGTGACCTTTTCTTCTCAACTTGTTTACAGAAGATCGGAAACATCACGAGGAGGAACAGAAACAGAGAGACAGCAAAAATAAAGTTCTTACGAGTCAAGTGGCCCACTACCCAGGCTGCAGGCTGAAGATGGAAAGTAAGTTCCATAGGTTCACCATCATAGGAAACGAAGTTCTGTGTTTCCTCTGAGAAACTAAAGGCTCTCTTCATCAGAGTTAATTTCATTTTTGCCTTACATCTAGGAAAATATAAATGGGTATTTTAATATTTTGTTAAATGTGGACGAGAGAGGCAAAAGTGTGTAGAAACTTTCCCACATCTACAGTAAGGCGGGTGTGGGACTGAGGGTAAAGTCTCAGGTGTTGATTTCTGACACAGGCACAGAAGAACCTGTGTTTCTCAGCAAGAGGCTAAATCATGTTTACAGGAGTCCTCTCTGTACCACCTAAGATCCTGCAGACAAGCAGCATCAAATCTCTTGGTCTAAATATCTGAGGCTACTGAACTTCCATTTGGTTCCAGTTTCTGCTGAGACCCAGTAGGCAAAGCAGTGTTCTGGGGACACGGGGGTAAACATGGTGATAGCACACAGTACCCGCTGTGGGGAGTTTACACAGCACTCTGCTCATTCCACATCCTGTAGTATCGGTAAGTGGCACCATCAAGAGCAGGGAGTACCCCTGTATTCGTGACTCAGCCTGTTAGTTGGCTGGAATCCCCAGTGGACACCATCACACTTGGCTAGTTTTTATATTTTTAGTAGAGGTGGGGTTTCACCATGTTGGCCAGGCTGGTCTTGAACTCCTGAGGTCAAGTAATCTCTCTTCCTAGGCCTCCTAAATTGCTCCGATTCCAGGCGTGAGTCACTGTGCTGCCTCCACAGATTGTTTTTTATGTAAACGTTGTTAGAATTCATCCATCGGTCCAGTCTCCTCTATAAATTTCTCTAATCCTTTGTTGACCATCATATATGATGAGATAAATCAGTATTACTGCAATGCTTCTGGAAAGTAGTTAGGGCAATGTGTGAAGATTTTGGGGAAAAAGTTTTAATTGCTTGTGCTAACTTAGCTCAGAGGATACATGATTAAGATCTAGCAGATGAGGGAGATTTTCTTTCATGGATTTGAAAAGTAGGCTCATCTCCTTCTAGGGCGACTTAATCTAGGGACCAGAAGAACACTCCCGTCAGAATATCACATTCTTAAACAGAATATTTTTCATTTTTGTGATATGAGTAGACACTAATTTGGTCTTGTGTGAAGTGTGATTTGCTTAATCTGACCTGCTCTTCTGAATTTGCTTACAGAAGATCTGAAACGTCATGAGGAGGAACAGAAATACAAAGACAGCAAAAATAAACTTCTTAAAAATCAAGTGGCCCACTACCCGGGCTGCAGGCTGAAGACAGAAAGTAAGTTCCATAGGTTCACCGTCACCAGAGTGCTGAACGATGTTCTGTGTTTCCTCTGAGAAACTAAAGACTCTCTTCATCAGAATTAATTTCATTTTTGCCATACGTCTAGGAAAATATAAATGGGTATTTTAACATTTTGTTAAAGGTGGATGAGAGAGGCCAAAGTATGTAGCAATTTTCCGCATCTGCAGTAAGGCAGGTGTGGGACTGAGGGTAAAGTCTCAGGTGTTTCTGCAGAAGCACCTGTGTTTCTCAGCAAGAGGCTAAATCATGTTTACAGGAATCCCCTCTGTGCCACCTAAGATCCTGCAGACAAGCAGCATCTATTCTGTTGTTCTAAGTGTCTGAGGCTACTGAACTTCCATTCAGTTCTGGCTTCTGCTGAGGCTCAGTAGGGAAAGCTCTGTTCTGGGGGAAATGCGATGGTAACACACTATACACGCTATTGGGAGCTTAAAGAGGACTCTGCTCCTTACATAACCTGTGGTATCTGTAAGTGGCCTCATCTAGAGCAGTGATTACTCTGGTCAGAGGGACATCCTGCTTTCTGTGCAGAGGCTCTTGTTGGTTAAGAGGAAGAATGACAGCACGCACGACTTTGTGGAGGCAGCAGTGCGTAGAGGAGGGACCCTGGGCCAGTCTCCTGAGCTCCATCCAAGTTGCTTCTTGGAGACAGTTATTGGCACAGAGTAAACACTGTCCGTTTATACTTCTTCATTCTACTGTGTCTAGCATAAGAGAAACTTTATTAGTCTGTGCATATTTCCTTTATGGACTTATGAGAGAGTCCAGACCTCCATACTTCCACGATTACAGTTTTATCAGTGGTGTTTTCTTCCACTAAACATATGTGGCCATGACGTGATTAGGACTTTCTGAATGAGAATACAGATGGGAAACCCATGGGGTTGAAGGTCACAGTGTTATCAATGTCCCTCCTTCCATGATGGATGGTGGTCTTTGGAGCAAGAGGCAGCATCACTCCAGTTGTAAAGGACATGAAGGAAGCTGTGACAGAAGGGCGGTTGTTGGAGTGGAAAGAGCTCTGGAGTAAGAATGAAGGTTCCCAGGCTGTATCTTCAGCAGTGTTTCTAGGAACTGTCAGTGAGCAATTGATTTCTCCTTCCTGAGTTTCTCTGTCTTCATCTGCAAAGGCAGGTAAATTTCTCTCTCTCCATCTGCAAAGGCAGACATCTTGCAGTGTCTGAAGCATTCAAATGTGCAAACACTCATGACCGCTTATCACAATGAGATAGAGCTCCTCGCTGTGTGGTGTTGGAGAAAGCACTTGATGTGTGGGCATTTGGTGGTAGGAAGTGGTTCAGACTGGAGCACTCCCCGTGGAGAGAATGTCTCTGAATTACATAGCAGAAGCCACTTGGAGGGCCTGTGAAGTCACCTGATGTGCAGAGGATTGTGGGACAAGTTTGTTTATCCTCTCCTAAGAGAAAGAAATAGGTTGTAAATGTGAACTGTGACAGGACACCAAGCCTGTCCCTGGGAATCAGATCTGTGTCAGGATGGCGGAGACAGCTGCCAAAGTCCAGAGAGAGACTGCAAAAGCCTCCAGTGATGTGGAGAGCAGAAGTGTTTTCAACATTTGGCCTCATCTTGACGGTGAGCCCCCTGATCAGAAATGCACTGCCTGGTGGATCAGGAAACCATACCGGGGCATTTTGTTAAAGAGAAAACATGAGAGCTTTCAGTAGAACAGGGACCCATACACAGATGTTCATGTCCCCGCGCACATTGGGTTGTCCTTGCAGAGTGTGAAATGGGAAATATCTGAACGAACACATCTGTACTTGCAGAAAATGACAAAGATGAGGATGAAGATGTTCATGTTGTGGAGGCTGAGAAAATAGAGGAATCATATGCCCCCAGGTAACACTGAATAATCAGGAGTAAGTAATGGGTGATAAAGTATGGAAAAGGTCTAGAAGCACGCCTTCTCTGGCGTCTCCCATGGGCCAAAACCTGCATTCCCTTGGCCACAATATGTTCAGTTCAACCCAACTTAGACACAGGGTGTGGCAGCTGTTGTGGTTCTTTGTATGTGCTGAGTGCCATGTCTGAATTTTACAGGGATAACTGAGTCTCTTTTCTCTCGGCTCCTTTCTGCCCAGTGTGATGAATACCAACTGCTGTCTTTCTCTCCAGTTCCCATGGCAGCCATGCTCTGTTGCAGAGAGGATTACCTGTTTCTTCTCAAAGGGAGCCTCCCATTTGCTTTCTGGGACCACTCTCTCATTCCTCCTGTGAAAACCAGCTAGGACTCCCTGGGGTCCGATCCCTCTTTGTTTAATCTTCTGTCATCTCTATGCCATCTGGCTCATCAGGGAGGTGCAGAAGATTGAAGTCAAGAAAGTCCCTGAGGACTCACTGGAGAAATGTGTCATTACTCGTTCAAATAGCTATGGCCCTACTAACTCCAGCCAGCCTCACAGAGACACCAATGAAATCACACTTGGGGAAGAGAATGTCGACTCTGCGCTGGTTGTAGAGAGTGAATCATCTCATGATGTGGTGGAGGATGCTCTAAGCATTCTTTCAGGTGACCTCTACATTCCTTGTTTTTGGTATCTCTGTCTAGACTGAGGAAGATCAACTCTGAAAACAGGCTCTATACACACAAATCGGTTTGAATAAAAACGTATCATGGGATACTAAACACAGATACCAGGGAATTTTTATCTCAACCTCAGCTCATGCCATGCATTTGTCTCTGAGGCCCAAGAATCAAGTTACCAGACCCCAGGCCAGTGTGACAAGCTCATGGTCACCTGTGTGCAGGACGTGTACAGGAGGTGTCTGTCAGGTCTCCTAGCTTTGATTCAGTATCTCTCATGTCATTAGGTCATCTTCCCTGAACAATGTCCCTGGAATTTCTATTTATTTTTAAGGAACCTGGGAGCCTTGCCTATTTATTTGGAGAGGTTGTTCCTCAGGTTTCACTGCTCTGAGCTTCAGTCTTGATCTAAGTCAGCTTGCTTAGCTGCATAGCCACCTTGAAACTAGGATGAAAACATTTCCTCTTTACCTTACTGATATGTTTCAATAAAGCAAGGCTCAGCCCTGGCTCTCCACTCCATCCATGCAATGGCTGATCTGATGTTTCTACATCACATCATGTATTGTTCCTTGTTGTTTTTGAGATGGAGTCTCCTTTTGTCACCCAGGCTGGAGTGCAGTGGAACCATCTTGGCTTACTGCAGTCTCCACTTCCCAGACTCCAGTGATTCTCCTGCCTCTGCCTCCTGAGTAGCTGGGACCATAGGTGCCCCCCACCACACCTAGCTAATTTTTGTATTTTTAGTACAGATGAGGTTTCACCATGTTTGCCAGGCTGGTCTTGAACTCCAAACTTTAAGTGGTTCACCCACCTTGTCCTTTGAAATCACAGATTTTTTTTTTTTTTTTTTTTTGGAGATGGAGTCTCCCTCTGTTATTCAGCCTGGCGTTCAGTTGCACGATCTCAGCTCACTGCAACCTCCTCTTCCTGGGTTCAGGTGATTCTGCAGCCTCAGCCTCCCAAGTATCTGAGACTGCAGGCATGTGCCACCATGCCCAGCTAATTTCTTTGTACTTTTAGTAGAGACACGCTTTCACCGTGTCTTTCAGGAGATCAGGATGGTCCCGATCTCCAGATCTCGTGAAGTGCTCACCTCGGCCTTTGAGAGTGCTGAGATGAGAGACGTGTGCTACCATGCCTGGCTCACAGATTCTGTTTGTTTTTGTTTTGTCTTTTTTTATTCAGTCTCCCTAGAGACTGTCAAAAATTGTCAATGCCGACTCTATTGCATGTCATCACGGCGGGGTATTGGGAAAAGTTTTCAATTAGCAATAATCTCATCTCGGATAAAACTCATTGGCTACGATACTGGCACTGAGCAAAGCTCACAGATTCTTGTTAAAGCAAGTGCTTTTGGAATTTACATACCAGTCCAGTTTCATGTATAGATGCCTCTAACCATTCAATGGACCTTGGTACCTGGTGAGATAAGTCAGTATTGCAGCAACACTCCCAGAAAAGAGTTTGACTCATTTTTGGAGATTTTCTGGGAAAAAATTTGGTTTAACTTTGCATGGACTCAGACAGAGAATATGGTATGATGGTCTACCCGTAGAGGGAGATTTTGGCCTGTGTGTCTGGAAAGCAGGCTCACCTACACACCAGGCTTCATCCAGGGCACCCTGGAATAGTCCTGTCAGGATTTGTATTCTTGCCCTGAGAATATTTCTGTGCTTCTGCTATGACTAAATACTGATTTGGTCATATGTGAAGTGTGATTTGCTTAATGTGACCTGTGTCTCTGAATTTATTTACAGAAAGTCAAAGTGATGATGAGGAAGAGGAAGAAAGAGGGCCAGTGCCCCCCAGGTAATGCTGTGGACTTGTGGGCTGTTAGTTCAATAGTGACACCTGGAGACTGTAGATCCTGGGAAAACGAGGAAGTGATGACTAGAACTCTTTCTTCCCTTCACCAGCTACAAATTGTCCTTATTAACAATGTTGTGGGTGATTGGTGGCACTTGTATAGGCTTTAATTTCTCACTCCTCCCAAGATGGGAACCTGCAATCAGATGAGCCAGGTGAACTCAGCAAACAGGGATTTCCTGGTTTCGCCTGTTCTCCCCACTGTGTTTAAACGCAGGGAGAGACGCATATATGCTTTCTGTCCATTTGTTGTGAGCATGTTTGCTAGGATTTGTGAAGAGAAGGAATTCAAAACATAGACATATGATATCAAAATACTGGAAAAGGAAGGCCCTTAATACACAAGATCTGGGTATCTGAAATGCTTCAGGAGCTCTGTTCACTTGAATGCCGCGTGTAAACTTCAACACAACTTACGCGAGGCAGTTGAAGCCCCATGTTAGTTCTTGTGCTGCAAGTCATGATGATAGTTTACAGGGAGAGTCGGTGGCCTGCAGTGGCTCATCTCTGGCAAATGCACTGAGCACATACTGCTCATTTGTGCTCTGTCCTCAGGGTAGTCACCCTCCACCCTGCATTTAGAAAGGATAGTTTTTTTTTTACTCTTGAAGGAAAAACGCCTTTGCTTTCTGTGACCATTCCATTCTGACTTCCATCAGATCAGCTGGGAGACTTTGTTGTCTAATCTCTGTTGGTTTCATCTTCTGTCATCCTTGTCCTGCCTGGCTCATCAGGAATCTGCAGGAGTCTGTGGAGGAGGAAGCCCCCCAGGTGTCCTGGGATGAAGGTTATTCGACTCTCTCAATTCCTCCTGGCACATCTGCCTTCAATGAGTCTTACAGGAGCAACTTGCACTCAGAGGAGCAGCAAGTAAAAGGGGCTATCGACATAGGCAGTGAGTACTCCACTGTGAAGTTGATAAAGCTCCAATTTGTGTCCCAGATAGACCCCATAGTCTTTGGGCCTTGCTCCGCTGGCCGGGCTGAGAGTTGTCGTCACTGTGGGCTGAACCTGTCCATCAGGGTAGATTTCAATCACTCTGGATTCCAGTCTGAAGCACGGGCATGCGGTAGGTCAGTGAGCTGTGCTCTCTCTCTAGTCTCAGTCCATGCCCGTCGCACCCTGGACCGACTTTCAGGACATTGAAACCCAACGCAGGTGTTGCCAACTCACACCAAGCCATGCAGCGCATGTCCATGAGTTGTCTCAATCTGAATTAAAAGTCTCTTGGCAGCTACCACGTTCCTCAGGAGTTTTGTTCCCCATGCATGTCTGTGAGGTTCTTTCCTGTTTGTACAAACTTGGGATAAAGGGATAATGGTCTGCCAGAATAGGGACGTTTCACCATTGGTTCTGAGACACAAACCAAGGAATCTCTATCATGATTGGCTTTGAGACCTCCTAAGTCTGTCTCTCACATTATCCTGTTCTCGTGCTGAGGAGCCTGAGCTCCCTGTGCAGGGATTAGACAGTGGACTGTTATGGGTGTAGGGGAATGGCTTATTTTGTCTGTCCCTATCTGAATTTATTGCAGAGATTAAAAAGAACCAAGAAGAGGAAGAAGACCGAGGCTCACTGTGCCCCACGAAACTTTGGGAAATTGTGAACAGCTAATGTTGTGTGGACACCTGGAGATGCCAGGTCCAGGGAAAACAGAGTGGGCTGATAATATTGATACCATCTTTTCAACGAAGTCTGAATTATTCCTACTGACATTGCTGTTGGTTTTCATTGCAATAGATATTTAGGTTTCCATTTCTTCCTCCCCTTACCATTTACTAACTACTGTAGGCTGACCATACTTGTTTTTATGATAAGTGCACACTGTGTGTCCTGAGGGTACTAACTCAGAGTGTCCCTTTACTCCCTCATCAGTGTGTCACCTGGATGCTTCACTGAGCTTACTTTCTCTCTCTTTCTCTTTCATTCTTTTTACCCTACTCTTGTCCATCCCAGCATAAGGCAATAATTTGTTGCATTATTAATGGATCTATGTTTTTTCTTTATTAACCACTTTCTTGTGCTACCCATGAAATCTAGTTGGGGCTCTGTGGTGTCTTGTTTTCCCTGACTTATTCTTTGGTTTTTCCTCCTTTTTTAGGCTCAGCATGGAGCTGGTGGAAGCAGAAGAGCCTGAAGTCTTCTGGTACTCACTGGATATATTGTGTTCAACATATACAGCGTATCTTGAGTTTTATTACACATACCAGGCTTACACATATGCCATTTTTTTATTTGTAGAAGGGCATGTTCGCTTGACTTTGGACATGGACAGTAGGTTTCTTACTATGACAGTGATAAGACTCCACCTGGTCTCCCGGATAGGGGTCGTATTCCCACACTAAGACAACATGTCACATGGGACTCTGCCGGTGCAGAGTATGAACAACACCATGTTCTTGCTGAAAACGCTTAGCCTGAGTTTCATAGCCTGAGGTAATCTCCAGACAACTTCAGAATGCAGAACAGTGAGCAGCACTACTGACCTGTCTCCTTCAGACAGCCCATGTCACCACAAATCACACAACTAAAAGGAGAAGAGACATTTTGGGTTGAAAAAGAGTAAAAAGATAATGTAGCCACATTTCTTTAGTTCTTTTGAACCCAAAGTGTCTCCTCATCTTTTTGTTGTTGTCGTTGATGGCGGTGACATGGGCTTGTTTGTAGAGGACAGGTCAGCTGTCTGGCTCAATGGTCTGTACTCTATAAAGTTGTCTGGAAATGTCCTTATGATTAAATTCAGCCTAAGCGTTTTTCCGGGAACACTGCAGGGTCAATGCTACCTCACCCATCTGCAGGTAGAGACAGTCCAATGTCTACCACCATGATCATGATACCAGGACTGTTCCACCATCTGTCTATCACCATGATCATGATGCCAGGACTGTTCCACCATCTGTCTATCACCATGATCGTGATGCCAGATCCGTACCTTTCAGAGACACATTATTTATACTGAAGTAATTGGAAAAATGGTTGTTAAAAGTATTAATATCCTGTATTCAAATGGTCATCCCTCAACATTTTATTATTCGTTAATCATCCCTGGCTGTGTCAATTATTATGTTTATACCTGTACACTGGAAATTTTCTATTTTTACTGTATCTTTGCTTTTGCTAGTTTCTGTTGTTGAACAAAAAAAAACCCCTGCCCACATTTCAATTTTTGCCAAAGTTAATTTTAATCTATACAATGAAAATTTTTTGTCTTTAAAATAAGACCGTCAGCATAAGGCCACAGCAAAACAGAGATTTTGCTAATTTTTATGCCTTTGTTAATTTCTGGCTGATGATAGAGGCTGGTAATATCTATTTAAGTTAGCAGCTAGAGAAATGTCTATCAGACTAAGGATATGCAAAGCCCAGGCCATTCTCTTTGAGTCTTTTAAACTGTTTCAGAAGAGAAGAGAATAGGCAGATTCCACATATGTGGACAGGGAGGAGAATACACTAAAAGACACAGCCGTCTCCCAAAACAGAATAGAAAATCCATTAAAATTCATATTTTCTCATGAAATGTAATCTCTCTAAACTTAGCCATTATATCAAAGTAAATTCTTAATATGCCACACTACATTGATTGTTGACATTCATAAGAATTCATTTCCATGTTTGTTATTTGAAAAAGCAAAAGGACTATCATCCTTTTTTTTCTTTGCCATGATCTTTTTAAGATTGAGGATTGTTTTTCAAAAGAAAACCAAAGATTTTAAAGATTGAAAATTGGCATTAAAATTTATCTTCTCAAAGCAATGATGTTTAACTGAGGCTGTCTTATTCCTGTTTGTAGTATAAGTGTCAAGTGATCATTTAACCGTTCTTTAAATGTTTCAAAATACTGGGAACAAACCACATTCCGGGTGTATCTTCTTTTGTTTCTTTATTTTACTTTAAGTTCTGGGGTACATGTGCAGATCTTGCAGGATTGTTACACAGGTATACACATGCCATTTTGGTTTTCTACCTCCACCCCTCATCACCTACATCAGGTATTTCTCCTAATGCTATCCCTCCCCAATCTCCCCAACCACTGCTATCCCTCCTCTAGCTCCCCCATCCCCTCACAAGCCCCAGTGTGTGATGTTCCCCTCCCTGTGTCCATGTGTTCTCATTGTTCAACACGCACTTATGAGTGAGAAGTTGTGGTGTTTGCTTTTCTGTTCCTGTGTCAGTCTGCTGAGAATGATGGTTTCCAGTTTCATCCATGTCCCTGTAAAGGACATGAACTCATCGTTTTTTAATGGCTGCATAGTATTCCATGGTGTATATGTGCCACAATTTCTTTAACCAGTCTATCTTTGATGGGCATTTGGTTTGGTTCCAAGTCTGCTATTGTAAGCAGTGCTGCAGCAAACATACGTGTGCATGTGTCTTTAAAATAGAATGTATTATAATCCTTTGGGTAGGTACCCAGTCATGGCATTGCTGGGTCAAATGGTATTTCTGTTTCTAGATCCTTGAGGCATCACCACACTGCCTTCCACATTGTGCCTGAATATTATGTCTTTCTCTAGGTTTAGAAAGTTTTCCATTATTATTTCTTTGAAGAAGCTTTCTACTCTTTGCTCCTTCTCAACCCCCTATTTAAGGCCAGTGAATCTTTGATTTTCTCTTTTGAAGCCCTCTTCTAGATCTCTTAAGCATTCTGTGTTCCTTCTCATTATTCTTTTCTTTTTTCTCCTCTGAGTGTATTTTGAAATAGCTTGTTTTAATGCTCACTAATTCTTCTGCTTAATCAATTCTACTGACACTCACTCAGGCATTTTCCAGCTCCAGGATTTGTTTGCTGTTTTCTATTACGTCAGTATCCTTGTCAAATTTTTCTGATATAATTTTGAATTGTTTCTGTTATCTTGAAGTTCATCGAGCTTTCTCAAAATAGTTATTCTAAATTTCCTGAGAAGTTACATATCTCCACTGCTCCAGGGTTGGTGACTGGTGGCTTATCTTGGTCTTTTTGGTGAGGTCATATTGACTTAAATGTTCTTGATAATGTTGATATTTGTCAGTATCTGCGCATTGAACGATAAGGTATTTATTCAAACCTTTGCAGTCAGGTCTTGTTTATACCTATCCTTCAGAGGGCCTTCCAGGAATTCAAAGTGGGCTGAGGAGTTCCCTAAGCCAGTGGTCACTACATCCATTTTTGTACTACAGGGTACCCTAGGCCCAGGTACACTGCAATCCTGACAGATTCCCAGGTCCCCAGCCCTTTTGGACTTGGGGAAGATCAGGAATTGTTCTCTGGGTTCCCAGGTAAAGCCCCTAGCTTACTTTCCTCTATTTCTCCCAAGCAAAAGGAATCTCTCTGTAGGCTACACTGCCTGGAGTATGGGGAGGGGTGATGCAAGCATTCCCATAGCTGCTGCAGCTGCTGCTGTCATACTGGCTGTGACCTCAAGTCTGGCATCTTCCAGATCTACACAACATCAGGGTTTGCTCAAGGAGTCTTGTGGTCACTACAGCCTGCCTGCCCTGACATTTATTTGAAGCCCAATTAATTTCCAGTGATAAAGCTGACCAGAACTTTGGTGGGTTCTTCCTCCTGGGGCAGCTGATTCCCTTGTGGCCCAGGGTGAGTCTAAATGCTGCTTCTGCTTACATCAGCCTGGAATCAAGCACTGTTGGGTTCTGTTCAGGGCTGTGTTTCTCTATGGCAAGACTGGTACTGAGTTTCCTCCTTGTCTCCAAGCCATTAGATTCTCTCTCAAAGATGCATTTCCTGCGGTTCGGAGAGAGGTGTCAGAAGCAATGCAAGACCATCCTTCCTGCCTTCTTCAATGCACTTACTATTATGCTAAAACCAGGTGCTCTGATCTCTCACCTGATTACCTAGCTCTTGTGAAAGTGTTTTCTTGCATGGATACTTGTTCCATTGGATGTTCTTTCAGGGAGACCATTGCTGGAGAGTTGTATTCCATGATCTTACTGCGCCTCCCACCTAGTTTTCTCTTTTAAGTGTTTCTAGTAAATAATTGTGAAGTGATAGCTTTATTTTAATCTTGGGGATCAAAAGAATGTAGCTAAGAACTTTTCCCAAAAAG